TTCAAATATCTGCTCAAGTGCTAAAGGAGACATAGAGCATTCTCTAGAGAAAGTGTTTGCTTGTGTTGCCTAGCACCACCGTCCTCACATTTTAGGAGCATGCCATTTCTAATTTACTTTATCAGTTCTACCTCCTAACATCTTTTAGTTGCAAACTGTGTGGTAAGAAGAAGCACTTGAGGCATAATTCTAGGCTATTCAAAAGATGCAACTGTTTTGTTTTAACTGTTCCAAGATCCTGGCACACTCAGAATGCAAATGCCCAAGACTATTGGGTTGGAAGAAAGATCTGTCACAGTTTAGAAAATTTGCTTTTGAGGTTACCTCTGACAGATCTTCCAGACAATGTGGCCACTAGCATGGATACCTTACTGGGAGTTTTAGTGATTCCACCCCACCCCACCCCACCCCACCCCCAGCTCTTCATATCACACATATCTTTGTATTCCACAGGACATTGTCATCCATCTTGCATGAGGGCTGTTCTCAAAGTCAGTGTGAGTCAAATGCATGAGGGACAAGTCTGGCCCCAGAGATTCTGCTTCCGGAGACAAGATCAAGCTGCCACTCTCCCCCATGTCACACACAGAAGTGGGCTGGACTTCAGTAGTGCCAGTGGAAGAGTATTCCCAGCCAAAACATCTCCAGCTTTGCAGTTCATAGGCAAAAAAGCTGATTACTTTTTTGGTGGTTGTTTTTAAGCCGCTAGATTTGAAGCTGCACTATGTTAGAAAAATAATACTGAACTCCCATTGTGACAGTGAAAAAAAATAGATTTTGGTGTTTAGCCAGTATGGCAAATGACAGCGTTCACTCATGAATTAAGGCAAAAACAAAGACAGCCCCAATAAAAAGTTGTATTCAATTTGGCATCCATTTATTTCACATCCGAATGATAATACAGCAACACAAATTATTCTCCTGCACCATCACGTGTGTTTGACTTGTACTGAATGGTAGAAACGGAAGAGCAGCAGTCCAGTTTAGGGAAGCAGGGCAGGCTGTGTGACACATACACAGATTTGTCCTCCAACAGAGAAGGATGGCTGGAAGACTTAAGAGAAGCAGCCAAAAGATTTTCATTCCCACCACTGCAGTATCTGCCATCTGAGGCACTTTCCATAAGGTAAAGGTAAAGGTTCCCCTTGACATTTAGTCCAGTCATGTCTGACTCTAGGGCACGGTGCTCATCCTTGTCTCCAAGCCATAGAGCGAGTGTTTGTCCGAAGACAGTTTCCGTGGTCACATGGCCAGCGCGACTAGACACAGAATGCTGTTACCTTCCCACCAAGGTGGTACCTATTTATCTACTTTCATTTACATTCTTTCGAACTGCTAGGTTGGCAGGAGTTGGGACAAGTGACGGGAGCTCACTCCGTTGCGTGGATTCGATCTTACGACTGCTGGTCTTCTGACCCTGCAGCACAGGGGCGTCTGCGGTTTAACCTTCAGCAGCACCACCACGTCCTTGGCACTTGCCTACCTTATAACAGCGACAGTTCAGATAAGGAGGAAGCAGAACATCTAGTAAGTTAGCTTAATGGTTTGCAACAGAGAATTCCAGGACTGTCCATTGTGGAAGGAAGCAGAGGAATGCAGTGTGGGATATGTGACCTAACTGAGTAACTCTTGCAAACACATTTACCAATGTCTGTTTAGCCCAACTTTCCCTGACCTGGTGGCCTTCAGATGTGTTGTGTTCGAACTCTCACATCTCACAGCCATATTTTGATCATGGGAGATGTATTTTGATTATGGGACTCTTGGGGGGGGTCACCATCTTGTAAAACGATGCATCAGGGACACAGTGATAAATAGAAAGTGGCTTGTTAATCATACCTGTTTAAATTACAGTCACAGATATATCTACGTACAACACAGATGGGAAAATATGTTATCCAGTCCCTTACAGAAAGGGTCTCTGGAAAGAGCAGGGTGAAAATCAAAGCAAGGGGGATTAGAGGTGTTGAAATTTTGATATAAATAACCTGGTTCAACAATAAAATCCTACACACCTACAGAGTTTTGAAAAATTAAATTTTAGAGTGCATGTTCCAGACTCTGATTTATCCTACACTTGGGTAGTTGGAAGTAAACACACGACATTCAGTGATATCTCCTCCTAAGAAATAAATGTACATCAGCTTGGGATCAATGTACAAATAAGAAATTATTTGCATACCAAACCACTCACATGCCCTCTCAAGTGAGATCCACATGTAATTGCCATTAGTAGCATTTATATGCCGAGGTAAGGCCTTCTGGCAGTCGTTTAATCCTTTATGATTACTCCTAGTTTTACTGTCTATGCTTTATTGCTCACTCTTGATATCATTTTGCTGTTCTGATATTTTAACATCTTGATTCTGCCTTGCTTGTTTATATTGTAAAATATGTGATTTCACAGATTGTTTTTGTTTTTAAATTTATCAAGGTAAAAGTCCCCCACAGCATTGCCAGCTGGGCAGTACATAAACAGTTTGAACAAATAAATATGTGAATGCCTTCGGAGCCTGAACTAATTCAGTTCTGAATACTTTTTAGAGAAGCCAGAAAGCTCTTCTCTTACTCTGTTCAGATAATTAAGCACATGAGAGATGATTGACAGCCTGTGATGAACGGATTTCCCTTCATGCCTTGTCGCCGACATGCTCAGTGGCACACTTGGCTATGAGACAGAGAAGGACATGACACCTAAACAGTGCCAAGCCCTGATTTTAATGCTTCAGCTGAGGCCTTTTGTGTTTCATTCCCTCTTATTTTATTTGTGGCGCTTTTAAGTAGAGTCTTAGAATGAGTAGCCCAAAGCTTTCAGCAATACGTATTGCCGTCCTTGAGCCCAACTCAACATGATATCTTACTCTTTGTGTGAAGCAAGGCCGTAGCTCTGGACTTGATAATCACCTTTTTGTTGAGGGGATTTGAAATTTGATCAATGGTTTCCTTGTTACTTATACTGACTGGCTGCAACTCGGCTCCATTGTGGATTGGTGGGGCTTTCATGGCAAGTTTTCAGAATTTTCTTCGAATATCACTGGTTTTTAGTTACATCCAAACTTTATGAAGTGATCATTTGGTGTCAGAACCCACCCCTATTTTTTGTTGTTTTGTCAGTTTTGCTACTTTCTCTGTTGCAGACTTTCTCTCCTAGCATTTTTTTTTTTGCTCCACTCTGTATTACTCAGTGCAGAATAACAATTCTGGTGAAACTGTATAATTAAGCAGTAGGATATGACAGGAGGTGTGGTTACTACAAGATAATTACATCCTTCAAGTACTGGCAGACTTTCAATATGAATTATTTTTATCACTATTGGGAGAGGTGCCCTTCCAAGGCTTACCTCCACAAACCACACATTTCACCTTCATTTCTTTAATTTATTCATTTCCAGAACCTTGAAAAGAAGTATCGCACAGCACAGAATGTAAGAAGTGTAAATCAGACATACTATTCATATGAATTCATGGAATCCTACTTTGTATGCACTTGTGTGGAAACACACAGACTGAAATCCTGTTGAGTAGAGTCCACCTGTGTAGTGGGAATGATGTCACCAGCAATAGCAGATTGCCAGATTTAATGATCCCTTTGTGATCATACCAGGAAGCCTTTAATTCACACATATATTAGCAGTTGTGGCAAAAGAGTAGTATGTGAGCCTGATATGATTGCTGAAATTTTAGCAGATTGCCAGATTTAATGATCCCTTTAGCAGTTGTGGCAAAAGAGTAGCATGTGAGCCTGATATGATTGCTGAAATTCCTGCAGGCATGAATTACAGACTCACAGTCTACTTCGCAGATACGTATGGGTTCCAGAACATCTGTGTCGTAAAAAAATGTCAAGCTTTCACTTCAAAGTCATTTATGGCCCAGAATCCCAAAGTCTCTGGACTTTGGGATTCTGGGGCTTTCACGGCAGAGTTCCAGACTCAGATGAGAATCTCAGGTTTTGCTCCAGCCCTCAAGAACAGAGAAGAATGGAGAAGAATGGAGGCCCAGACTCCATGGGAGGATTCCTCATGAATAGGATCTTTCCTCAAGAGCAAAGGGCCTCCATGAGAACAAGCTTCTGCTTCCATGGAAACCTAAGTCTTCAAAGTGAACACTTGCTTAATCCCAGATGGTAACTGGCAGGTCAACATAGCTTGAAGTTGTCCTTGACCAATACTGATGGATTCCTTACTGCCATGCTATGGATGGCCTAAATTCTTTTAGCCCTCTGCTCCGTTTAGCTCCCCTTGAACTGTTGTTATAACTGCTGGCTGATTGCTATGGACTAGCGATCTTTGATCAGGTAATGATGCTAGTGGTAGGACTTAATTGTCTCTCAACTTGGAGTCTTTTTAACTGGTCCCTCCAAGCAAAAACACTCTTAACTTGCTCCTAGATATCCCTAGGGAGGAGAATTTGGAGAGAAGTTGCCATAGGTCTAAATCAGCCTGTTCCATTACTGGGGGAAGATGTTGCCACAGAGTTTTGCTGTGATCAGTTTCCTTAACATATTGGGATTCTAGAGCTGAAATTATATAGTTCTTAGTGTATTTTCTCCATCCATGTCACTAGGACATGGTTGGCAAAAGACAGGAAGCTTGTGAAGAGAAATATACTAGATAATATTACAGGATGAATTATATTGTGTCCTTCTGTTTGCAGTAGGTTTCTTAATAATAATAAAAAATCTCCACCATCAGCAGGGGTGACTGGAGGTGTCTCACAACCTATCTACAAATAGTGGCATAGAAAAACTCATTTTCCTGAGCTCCCTTCCTTGCATATCCTCAAAAAACGTATGTTCTAGAGGACACTGGGCCCTTTAGAAAAGGAAAGAAGGGGGTGCAAATGGCTACAAGTGGGTAGGAGAATCAGGGAGAAGTTGCCTTTCATTTTCTTCCATTTGCAGAGCTGACCACAAGAGCATTTATTCATATTTTATGCTTATTTTTCAAAGGTCCACCTTACCCTTAAGTATGCATTTCTCAAGGTAATTTCTACTGGGCAACAAGCAGTGGGTAAAATTTGGCAACAATAACACTGTGTAAATTTTAACAAATAAAATCCATGGGGAAGGATTTCTCTAAGCAGGTGCGGCAGTGGAGAAGGTTGTCTCCTCAGCTGAAAGCGGACATATTTCTGATGGCAGACGGGACCTGGTAAAGTTTATCTGGTGATGCTCTCCATCTATGGTGAAGCTGCTGTGAAGGTCCGTTTCTTCTCCCCTTGTTGCTACCAACCAGGCATAGCATGAATAGTTGATGTTTCTAAAGGTTCTTCAGTGGCAGCTGTTATTCAACATCTTGTGGCAATCAATGTGGAAGTGGAGATGCCTATGGCATAGAAAACCATGATCAGACTGAAAATTCAATAGGGAGAACATTGCCCGCCCAGCCTGGAATAATGAGACGGGACGCGATATATATGGGTTAAACTAGGACCACAACTTTATTAACTTATTAACGCTTTAACTTCCCCTATTACAAGGGGGCCTTCCATTGTGCAAAACAGGTCTGGAACCAGCGTCAATCCTACCTGACCAGTTCAGACCTATTCCCAGCGAGTTCCTGCGCTGAAACGGAGGTGTCTTCCAGCACAGCACCCTCTCGGTCCTCCACACCAGAGGCCACCCTCAAGGCGAGCCTCAGGACCCCTAGTTCACAGCACCCCCTGGGTTCCCCTGTTTTTCCCTCCCTTCATCTAAACCTCTTTACAGCAATTCTGAGAGAAAGGGTTTCTACCACCCACTGGGTGTCTCCCCTGATATTCCCATGATCCTATCCTGCTTTGCACTACCAATGCTTTGACCTATTTAATAGTGGTAATCTACTGTTCTAACTCCAAGAACGCCCTGGTGAATAAGAATGGGACGGGTGAAAAAACACCTGCCACTCTGAGGCCAATGTGAGTGGAGGTCAAAAATTCCCATCGGGCCCCGAAGCGGCCAGCTACTCTCATTCTGACCACTTCGGTGGGTGGGTGGGTTGCTTTGCAAGCAGGGAAGAGGACAGAGCAGGCATGGCCAGCCTCCTTAAAGGCTTGCATTTAGCCCTGCCTGCCTGACATCCTCTGACTCTCCCTGCTGATGTCTCTACCAGATGGGCAGGCAAAGAAGCCCCACCCCAGCAGCTCCGCCCTGTGCTGGAGGGGCCGTTGGCAAGTAGAACTATCTCCTGCCTGGCTAGCCAAAACTTTTTTGGCAGATGAAACCCTTCCTGGCTCACCACTTACTAATTCAGTTCTTCTTCCAGTTTATAAATGTGGGATATCGTACTTCTGTACCCACAATTCAAAATGCCAGGAAATACCCCAATATTGCTGCACAATATTGTGCCCGTGCTGCCTGAAGGAAAAAGGATGCCAAAGGTTTACATAGCAAAGGACAGCCTGAATGTTCACAAAACCAATGGCAACATTCAAGATGGTCTACGGCAGTGGTCCCCAACCTTTTCTGAGTTGTGGACCATTTGGGGGGTGGGGTCCATGTGCGGGGGTGGGGCCCCCTGTGCTTGTGGGTGGGTGGGGCACGCTCCTGGAAAGGAAGGGTGCAGTCATGTGCATGCATGAAGGGGTGGAGCATGCTCACAGAGAGGTGGAGCTCGCTTGTGCACATGCATGAAGGGGCAGGGTGCACTCACAGAGGGGCAAGACATGCTCGTGGAGAGGAGGGGCGCACTCACAGACATGCATGGAGGGGCAGAGGGTGCTGACGCACATACGCAAAGAGCTGGGGCACACACGGAGGGGAGGGGCGCACTCACACGCATTTGTGCAGGTGGTGGGTGGTGCATGTGGGTGGGGTCAGTGGGTGGAATGCATGCATGGGGGGGAGATCTCTCTCTTTGGCCCAGTCCTGCCATGGCCATGGACCGGAACCAGGCTGCGGACCAGGGGTTGGGGTCTACTGGTCTACGAGATGCCCTCTTGTGTTCACTACAAGTAGTACTTGTACTACTTCAAAGTGACACCATGCAAGGAAAAATCACAGACCGACTCCCTACTTCATCAGTTAACCACTTTTCACCCAAACATAAAACAATTGTCAGGGCTGTTTTTTAACAAGTGTGAATGGTAGTGAGCAGAATCCTGACTGGATTTGTCATTTTATAGAAACACTATATACACTTAAAAAACAATAAACAATTTACTAATGTCTAGCTGGGATACAGTGAACAGAAAGGTAACATCTCTTTGGTAATCAAAATATATAATATGTGAACATAAGGCATAGTCAGAAAAATCCTTTGTGGAAAAGAAGGGAGGGCGTTTTCTTAAAATAACAATAGCATAGTCTTCACAACAGATTTTATTTTACTTCAGAGTTATGTTCTGAAAAGCATTTCCACAAACAAACGTTTAAAAAAATTTGCTCTCAAGCCAACTACTGTATCTGTTATTACAAAACTAAATATAATATTGTACATCCAGAGCTAGAATGTTTACAAATACCACGCCATCCTGGCACATGGCATCCTGACATTTTGTCTGTCAGCTGAAATATATGGCAGCTTTCTTACAGAAAATTAATCACAGGCTAGGTGTAATGTGTAAGAAACATTTAAGCTGCATTTTCAGAATTCCAAAGCAAGCCATCATTGTATACAAACCTGGGAATTTAATATTGTGAGATATCCTAGTATTCCAGTCCAGATGCAGTTATCAATAAGCAGGTATGCTAGGACATCATTCTATTATTCAGTAAGTGGCAGTCTACTACTGTTCAGTTGTGAATGATTTTAGCATGTCTTTATAAAATGGAGCCAGTGTTGTATAGCAGTGGTACCCAACCTTGGGCCTCCAGATGTTCTCTTAGACTGCAACTCCCAGAAGCCTTCACCACCATCCCTGCTAGTCAGGATTTCTGGGAGTTGAAGTCCAAGAACATCTGGAGGCCCAAGGTTGGGGACCACAGTTGTATAGTGATTAGAGTGTTTGACTGAGGCTTCAGAGATCCAGGTTCCTGTTCAGCCATTAAACATTCAGTGATCTTGGTCCAGTCATTCTCCCACAGCTTGTCCCACCTCACAGCATTGCTCCAATGCTGAAGCAGGAGTACAGAGAGCCGTACTGTATATGGCAGCCTAAGCTCGCTGGAAGAATGGTGGAACATAACACACTAACAGCATGGTATTCTTCTGGTATGGTCATATTTCTCATCAAAATAGGGACCTCTGATTCACTCAGCCACATTTCAACACCTGGCCTATGATAATGCATGTTTTGTATTCAAGTATGGGAACTCCAAAATCTCCCATAAAGTAACCCTTCTGAAGGGTTTGTTTCTTCAGAAACAATTACACATTCAGTTTTAATGGCTTCTGGCTGACTCCTGAGAGCTTCACACTTTGGAACACAATACAACCACAGAAAGGATAGGCAATTTAGCTATATTATAGAGTTGGTATAGATTACTCTGTTGTTGGAATGTGCTGTGAAAAAGGTTATTGTCCTTCCCTTCATCTTGAATCACCAGTGTTGGTGCTAATGAAGACCACTCCCTTCATGGGTTGTCATCTGCCTTTTTTTAAAAAAAGTTTAGCTTTCCCAGGAGATTTCGTTTAGCGTCTGTCACTGGAACAACAAATAGAAACCTTTCTGTGCCTGCATTGTCCATGAGCCAATTCACAGGATCCAGGGAAATTAATATGACGCCTTCCAGTTTCAGAGAAATCATGGTTTGGTCTTCATATGGTTGTTTAAGTCTCCGAATCGCTGCGCGGTGAAGTCCAGCTATTGCAGCTTGATTCTTAGTATGTCTTCAGCCTCCATTGCCCCATTTCTCTGGATGTTGTCCTGAAACGCTAACAGTGGCCGTAGATTGTAAGAACTCATGAACCAATTCTCAGCAAATTTTATTCTAAATTTCTAAAATATCCCATTACTTCAGATAGAAAAGAAAAGATATTATAGTATTTTTTACAGCTCTTACCTGAGATTTCTGGAAAAACACTGGGAAGAAGAGTGCCATTTATTCAATATGGCTCCCAAAACACATTTGAAGAAGCTGAGTGCTAAAAACAATAATTTAAAATAATTAAAATAATTAAAAATGCAAATGAATCCCAAGAATTCTGATGTCTCATAGGATCTAATGAAAAATGCTTTAAAAAAACCCCATGACAGCCAGTTTTAAGGTTCAGAATTTCAGTAACATGGAAGTTTGGGACCTGTCCTCTTTGGGATGAAATGGCCAGCATCCTATTACTGCATGTATGAGATTCACATAACTTGCCACAGCTAACTGTGGCTAATTGATGCAGTGCCAGGATATGTATCAGTCATGTGATTGGTCATTACCAAGATATACCTTGACACCTTGTTAATTAGCCTCAGTTGCAGGTAAACTTTACACCAATGCTGATTGTATTCTGGCCATGAATCTCTGGGACAAAGCAGTCACATCTAGCGTGACTCAGTGCCAAGCAAACAGCAAAGCATAATAGTCAGTACCTTACTGAAGCCTCTGCTGAGCAGAAAGTCCCAACAACATAGTGTTGTGGGATTGTGCCACTTCTACAAGCATTGCCATTGTGCGCATCACAATCACTGGAAAGAAAACCCACCCTCCCCAAGTAGCGTGATCCTGCATTACTATGTTACTGGACCTTTCCTCAGCAGAAGCTCAATAGGATACTGATCTATATAATTATGTGTCATTATTAGATTTATATTGTTATAGGATTAAATCTAGATGATCTCTTGGGCTCATTTGCAACTTGATTGTTGTTTGATGGAAAACAGAGAGAGCTTAAATGTTTTCTCTCCATAGATGCCCAACCTGTATATTTATTTACTTAAAAACAAACACCTCACACAAATATTATAAAAAGCTAGCAAGCATCCACTGATCTTATTCTTAAGAAAATAAATGCTCCTTCCCTGGAAACTATTAGGAGGAGGAGATCTGGGTAGTGCAGGCCAAGGGAATCTGGGAGATGTAGTTCAAAACAAAACTTTCCCAAATTCAGGATTTGGGATCACTTTCATAATATGTTGCTCTTTAGTATTACTACTCCAAGTTTGCAGGTTGACAGCCAACAGTAATATATTTTTTAAAAAAAGATTTAAAGTCATGTTAAAAACATCAAGGAAGAGAAAAGCAGAAGAATTTTAAAAGGTTGGCAATAGCTTTAAAAATTCTGGGGAAATTAAAAATGTTTGCCTGGCACTGGAAACACAAGGGTAAGAGCAAGCCAACTTCCCTTGGGACAGCTTCCTGATCAAGGTCTGAGATTCAAGATTTAGTATGTGTTCTCAAGGTCCCAGGTTTGGACCCTGAAACTTCAGGAAACCAGACACTGGCAAACTGTTTACCCTAGATTTGGAAATTCAGTATTATGGGCTTCCAAACATGCAATATAAAGATGCTCAGAAGCAACCTTGTTTTTTTTTTCATTATCTTCCATGTCCTAGAATTGCTGCTACTAGAATTAACATATTGGCTTTTTATATTCATCATGAAGTCTTTGTTGGAATTCATCAACCTACATATTATGCCTTCAGGAGGCTTTGATGGGAGGGACTCGGAGGTTGAATGTCAATCGGTTAGCAGAGCAACCAACTGTTTCCCTCTTTACTTCACATTCCTTTTCCCACCTTTTCTTTCTAGTCTGGGTTCTGACAGTGCCAATTAAAGTCTGTTATCAATGTCAGTGCTGTGTGAGTTAAGAGTATGACAGTTGTGGAGTCAGCAGTTAAGAGTCCAAGTGGAGTATTTATGTAAGTAGTTATTTAGTCTAACATAATGAAGTTAACTAGTTCAGATCTCAAACTATGTAACAAGTGAATATGTTTTTTGTTATTCTGACATATATGAAAAGTTGTGAGTAAAAGAAACATTTTTAATTCTTTCTCAACATCAGAGTCTCTGACTGAATCTTTTCAGATTCAATTATCAGTTGAGGTAAAACTAACAATAAGGGGTGGTATATTTGAGTGAGACTTGTAATTATAATATAATAATTATAGTAATCTGCTTGGAAGGTCCCTGTCTGGACCTTTCTCTACTATATCGCTGGAGGTTTTAAGACATTAGTATCCACACTCCGCCAATAGTCTTTATGTTGTCTGTAGATCACACACACACTATTTTGAAATTGCTGCTGAATGGTCCACTCCCATGTGAGACTTCTAAGGCCCCATCCCAGGCATTGGCCTATACATCTCAGGGAATGGGGTACTGCTGAATAGAAAACCTATTCCAAAAGCAGGATGTCATCACCAGGATACCCTTGTCTCTGCCCACCTCATCTCAGTCATGGGGAAAGAATTCCCTTGAGTGAAAATCTGGAGAGAAGGCAAAATTTTATGAAGACAGGCAATTTTTAAAGTATGCAAGCCAGGAAGATCTTTTGAAGGTCAAAACTAGTACTTTTTCACTACACAGTAAAGCTGTTTGATAAACACTGTAAAAGGCCGATGGTAAACTTCTTATCCATCTGCCTGTAAAATGATCAAATTCAATTCACAAACATGAACATTCCCAGTTGAATTCAAATCTACACTAAGCTTGCTTAAAGATTGTGCCACCCAGGCCCTTCCATCCTGGTTTGAATGCTGGGTATGTTTTTTTTTAAAGCCTACACTTTAAAACCCCACTAAATAAAAATTAGGCCTATGCGAGGATTGAAGATCAAACTATGAAACCCAAAGAGAGTTTGTTTACTTTAAAGTGAAAGCAATTAGCAAGGAAACATATTAATATTCAGGAGCTGTTATATAAACTTCTTTTGGAAGTCGGGAGGGGGTGGGGAGTTTAAATCTAACCCTTGCTAATAAATAAGCTACATCAAAATAATCAAATATTTTGAAGTGGCATCTCTTTTCCAGAGAGTCTGTTTTAGTACCGTGGGATGTGGGCAAAAACTCTGAAACATACTTACTTATGAGTTAGGTCCCACTTAAATTTATTTTCAGAGCTTGGAAGCAGTAAATTGGTTCTTTCTTATAAAAAGAAAAGGGCTTTTACATGAGATGAGAATGGGGGATTCTCTCTCCCTTGCAGGACTTCTTTCCTTCTTTTTAACTCAAAGGGTATTTACTGCCCTCCCCTTTTAAATTCAAGGTGTTTATCACATCAGCAGCTCCTCCAATACGCTTTCAAGGAGCCTCCAGAAAAGGCTAATGATGACATTCCCAGGATCACTATAGATCTATGGCCTTAAAAGAAATTGGACGTACTGTATAATAATATATCACTCTGAAATTCCAGCTTTATGGCAGTCCTGGTATGTCTTCCAAGGTACGTGCAGTATTTAGTGAGTTTCCATGGGTGAGCAGGGATTTTAACTCTGGTCTCCTAAATCCAATCTGACACTCTTTCCAACACACTACAGAGAACTCTAATATTATAGATCAAATAACATGTAAGCTCCTTAGAACTATAATAGCAATATCCAGTATGGTTTGGTGGATAGCACAATGGACTATAAATCAGGAGACCTGGGAGTGAATCCCTACTCACCTGTGGAAACTCATGGAGGGGGTGGCACGGGTGAAACCTTATATATTCACTTACCTTGAAAGCCCTATTAGGGTCACTATAATTCTGTTCTGACTTGACAACACACAACACACATAAAACTATACTTTCTCTATATTGTAGCTCTAATAATGATAACTGTGTGCCATCAAGTCATTTCTGACTTATGATGGCCCTTTTCAGGGTTTTCTAGGTAGAAGGTATTCAGAAGTGGTTCCCTTCTTCTGGGGGCATCCTAGGACTGTGCGGCTTGACCAAGGCCACACAGATGGACATGTCTCTCAAGAGGCACAGGAGGGAATTGAACTCCCAGTCTCCACAGCCGGATACCTAATTCACTGAGCTACCTAGCCAGCACCTCAGGGGCTCTAAAGCTAGGGCCTGCATTGGGTTGGGAAAAGGGACATCATCTTTGAATATTAAAAATCTATAGTAGGAATGATGAGTAACAATAGACTTCATAACAATAAATTGCTAATAAAGTAAGATACAAAGCACCACACATCCACAGCCGTTAACAATCACAATAATAGCCAGTTTCTACAAGGGAAACAATGAGATTCTTTTCTGTAGTATTCATTCATTCATATTTAATGATGTAAGCCACCTTGGGTCCTTTTGAGGAGAAAGGTAATATGCACACACAAACACACACACACACACACACTCACTCACTCTCTCTCCCACACACACACAAAGACAAATCCCTCTGTGGTTAGTTCTTTGATGCTAGACAAAAGCAGATATTGACACTAGGGGTAACTTCATTCCTGGGCCAAACAGCAATTTGAAGATCATCTTTATTAAATTCATTTTTAAAATACCCAGAAAATGGTTAACAATTTAGTTTTAAACTCTTAGTGAGCCTAACAATCCAATTCAGTTAAGTGTATGTAGAAGAGGGGATAGTTTTAACAGGTAAGTGGTTGCTGAATTGCCCTGTAGGTAGCTATAACAAGCCTTGCCAGAGGAGAAAAAAAAAATAGGAAGATCCCATCCATCATTTAGCGACATCTTGTCCTCTGAGATTTTCAGGGCATTCTATAAGAATGCTCTTCTCCATGAGAAGTTTGCTTGTTCCCCACCATTGTATCTTCAGGACCAGGGAAGAAATTGGATTTTATTGCATACAGCTAACTCCAGGCTTATTTGCTGCACTGAACAGTCTGCTATTTGCACTGTTGATAATGTTTGCACAGAAAATACTATCCTCCACTTCTTAACTTCCACTCTGTAAAAAATTGCCCATGACACGCCAAGCATGCCTGCCTTGGATTACACAAACCACAATGTCAAATTTCCACCCACCAGTTGAAGACCAATGGACTAATCTGCATACTCAATTCTGGGGTTGTAAGTCTTTTCTTATATTTGCTAAGAGCAGAACATAGTGTTTACATAGAATGTGTCTATAACCAATCAGGATGTATTTGAAGTCATCCAGGCTACTGTAAAATGCAGGTGTCAGCCAGGAGTCTGTGGGAGTCCAGAAGTGTGGTAAACCCAGATTGTAAGAGCTCAGATTGTGATAACGAAGAGTGTCATGCTGGCTGAGACTAACGAAAAAGTCTGCAGAAAGATTAAGAACCCCACAAAGAAAGAAAACCTACAGTAAACTAAAAGCACACAGACACATGAACGCACACACCCCCACACCCACACTCGCCCCCCCCACACACACCAGTGTGTGTGTGCTTTTCATATTCTGGTGATGTGGAAACATTTTTCAACAAAAAAATCTGCATTTTACTTCATTTTATTTCACAAAAATGTATTATACACATTAGGCTGACACGCACTTTTTCATCAAGGACGAGGAATTTGTGAACATTCACTACAGCCTCAGCACAATCCCACTTCTTTTCTGAGAGATGTAAGGACTCCACTGGCATATTTCTTTAGGACTGATTTGTTGACAATTTCCTGAGTCTTTGACAACTAGTATAGCGTTAGTAGGTAATTGTGTAGATGGAGTTTGCTGGCTTGTCTCTGACCCCTTCTGACTGACCTCACCTCTGGCTAACTGGAATGAGTAATTCATGGT